ATTTTTGCCATTTTCATGCACGGAAAAGTCCAGATATGGGGTTCTTCATGGCGAGAAGGTCTCGAAAAGATAAAGAACTGGATAATGAAATTCTGCCGGGCCGCTGCCTTTGAAATCATGGATTCCGTTCGCCAAGCTGCATCCATTTTTGATGAATTGTGCACTACACATGCACAACAAAAGTTGTACCGTGTCCTTATCGAGTGGGAATAATGAAAAATAAGAAGGACCGTAGATTGCTTTTTTGACTACGATGAGGTAAATAGTCTACGAGCCGTGAGTTTCTCGTAACGTGTACTTTAGGCACAATTACAAATATTAAGTCACCACATTTGAGTGTACAGCCTGTGTCAATCAGCAACTCCCTTTTTGTAGGCGCGCGCATCCGTAGCGCAGGGATCTTGCGTGGCGAGCTTAAATCGATAAGGTCATTTCTAGTGCTTGCTCATTCGCAGCACGGGTTCTGCGGGCGATGGGGCTGACGGAAAAGAGAGTTCACCATTGACACAAACTGTAAACGTAAAAGTTTCGAAAGTCGTAGCAATTGAACGAAAATTTTCCGTAAGGGCTGAAGAAAAATTGCGATAGTTCTGGTCAAGTTAACATCAACCAAAAGACCTTCTTCGCTACAACTAGGTATTCAAGTAATGTATTACATTTTACATGAATAAATTGAACCTTTACTGACCATAATTACCTTTGTTTTGATATCAACCGGATTTCCTCCATGTTTTCCGAATAAACTCCGTCGATGTTTATTTTGAACTGATGAGATGGCGTGATGTCGGCATAGCAGGTAATGAAGTTCTCGACGAAGTTGCGTGTTAAACAGTAAATATACCGTAGGATTTACCTTAACCCAAGATGATAAGTATAAGTTATGGTAACAGGATAACTTGCAAATCTCGCTTACCGAGTTATTAACAAAGAATAATGACGTCATCACAAAATATGCCCACTTTGAGCTCGACATATGCGGAAGCCATTGCCATGTGGTCCACGTCACCAGAAATACAAGCGATACAACAAAAAACTGAAAGGAAAGGAAATTATAAAATTCCCAACGTTTGTAGCGATCCATTTTCCCTATGGCTAGAGGCGGCTCGAGTTGTGAGTTACTTGGTGCAACTGCACACAATTTCTATCACTTGCTTGCTTTTGATGAATTGTAAGCTACAAATGTTTTCTGCCACGTTCTTGTGACAGACCTTCACACATTTTGGTGAAGGGTCAGACACCTGACACCTCTGAGGACAAAACAAGCTTATACTACACTGAGTGACCAAGGCCGTTTCAATTTCCGTGCCAGCGCCGTTCCAGCATGGTTCCAACGCCGCGTAACTACCATGACGAGCGTCCACCTATCGACATATGCGGCGTGATCACGTAGGTTCCATCATGAAGCTAGCACGGCGCTGGCACATGGGCAGCACTTTGCAACGCTGGCTCACAAATTGTGAGCTTTTTTGTTTACAGAATAATTTCGACTGGAAAAGTCTGCATTTGCACACTATGTATGCCAAAAAAGCGCGCGCAATTTGTTCAGTTGTCAGATCAGTGATTTGTCCTACATTGGCTGGTTTCTATAAAGGATCATTTAAAGAAGTCTTGATGTCTCTGCAGTCGAATTAATTGCAACTACGTGTACTGCACATTAAGCGTGCCATCTCACGACATGGTACTTGCAGATCTCCCTTTTCTAAAGGTTTTTTGTTTTCTCTCCTTTTTGCGCATAATATGCAGGTTTTCATCTCTGATCAGTCCGCCTTTATTGATTCGGACGCATTAATTAACTAATCGTAACAAAGAAAGAGTTATGCGGTTTCCACATGGAAGTGCAAGTCAAGTTGCAAATGCCTCAACTTCAACTCCAGGAACTGCATTTTTGATTACGCGGCTTACTGTAGCTACCACTGTTGTGCAACTACACCATCATTGAAGAAATTTAATCGACGCATACAGAATCATTTCTATACTTACCTGAATAAATAATCTCATTTCTTTTTTGCTAACTTGACTTCGTGGTGGTCGAACTGAGGACATTCTCGTACAACCATTCATTTGGCACGATAATGAAACTCCTGACATCAGCGCATGTTGTTGCTGGAACGGTTTTTTATCGCATATGAGCATTTTTATGCTATACAAAGAAAAAATTTTCAGTT